TAAAACTCCAGAAATTTCTACATAAATTTAAGGGCCAAGAGGAGAAAGAGGGAAGTCCATAAAGATGTGAGAAGGAAGAGCCAGGGAAGTTGTTCAGAACAGAAATGAATGGTATCCTTCATTCCAAGAGAGGAGTTTAGAGATTGAGAAAAAGGACATCAAGCGACTGATTCTCCAGGGAGGTGAAGTAGCTGAAGAAAGGAAAATGCTCATTGGATTGTCGTCCTGGTGACCTTAAGGAGGACAACAGGCTCCCACACAAGTCTGAAACCCAGCAGGGCAGACATTAATCTTTAATGTGGTGTGGTGGTGTGGTGGTGTGGTGAGTGTGGAAGCCACATTCAGTTGGTTGAGAAGTCAAAGTGAGGTAAGATGTTGATGACAAAGAGCTTATCATTATTTCAAAATGTTTAGCTGTAAAGAGCATTTGAGAACAAGACAGAAGCTATAAGAGGGTGTCGGGTGGTAGGAATGTCTTTTTAGGTGTGAGATATTTGAGCATTGAGAGCTGAGGGGAAAGAGCGAGTAGGGAGGAAGAGAAGTTGATGATACACAGGAAAGAATGTGTTGCTGATGGTGCAAGACTTGAGGTAGGCATCAACCTTGGTTAAGAACCACATGTTCTATCCTGGTTCTATGGGGAAATTAAACAGTTATCTCTTTATCCTACAACACTTTTCCCAGGAATATACCCACTCATACATACTAGACATTCCTGTGCATTTACATCTGGTTTAGCGAATAATGTAGGCAGTAGTAGACCTACACTTATGTGAAGAGACCAGTCTGTGATCTGTGGTAAAACAATTGCATGTTAATCTTCCTGATCTCTGCATTCCTAAATTTTGCTAGCAATAGGTAACCTAATTTTTACATGGTACTTACTGTTGTTCTTTGGCAAACTGCCATGGTTTAGAAAAGCTTCGTTGTCTGAGGTTTGCTTCAGCTTTCTTTTCACAGCAGAATGGGGTCCTGTAAGCCTCCCCTCAAAGGACTGGATTTCTGAACATTGGTGCCCTTTGCATTGACTCTTCGTGAACAATGTATAATATCCCAGGGGAGTTGAGAATGGAATGATCTTTGCACTTGATGTAAATTTTTAGATGCTTACTACTTGGACCTTCAACATGTGGTTTTATCCACAAAACAGATTTTGAGAGACAGGGGACCAGACATCTGTTTATGTGATTTGATCTTAAGGAAACTCAATTATAGATAAGTGAAGAGACATAAAGATATTTGTCTGAGGTCATGTAAGCAGTTGATGGTTGAACTAAACCTACAGCTCCAGCCCCCTGACTTTTGACCTCTATTTCCTTGCCTTAAATGTGTGTTGCCTATAGCAGGAAAGGGTATGGTTTCCATTAAAAATCATTGCTAAATCAAACACCCCAGCATCATGAATTCAGAAATTTGTGAAACCGGTAAAAGCATTATTGATTCTCAGGTGGTCTAGAAGTAATTTCTTCTTATATTGAAGCCACTTGTGAGCTTATAACTCAAAATAGTTATGAGTGTGCGTAGAGCTTAGAGGTAAGAAATGTCACCATGGGCTTCAGACAGCAGAAGGTTCACATTTCTGGATGTGCAGTTTTGTAACTTGGCCTTGTTGTTCACAATTTCTTCGTTTGTAATTTATTTCTCCCATATGTGGGATGTGGGGAAATATCCTGAAGACAATTCTAATGAAATACATCGAGTAATAGGTTCTATTAGTTTATAGGGATTTAGGAAGTATTTCTCAAGGACTTTGAAGTCTCCTACTGAAAAGCCCTTTAGAAAGAGAATAGTCTAATTTCATTTCATTTTCCTGGCCCAAAAATGAAAATGATCATTACTAAATATGCATCTTACATCTTGCATAAACAGAATGTCAGAAAACTGACATATAAACAGGCAAATATATAAGCAGGTAAATATGGAGATCTTTGTAATGGCTCTCCCTTTCTTTATTCACCAGGGCAAGGGAATAAGGAAATACAAATTCTTATCTTTAATATTTTGTTTCTTGAGTGAAGTTGTCTAAGGCAACTTTGTATATGCCCATGTATGCTACATTGAAAACAGTGAAAAAGAAATGAGCCTTATATGTATTTCTGGTTAATTTTGGAAGATTTCTGTCAGCTCCCCTTGGGACGTTTATAAAATAATAGGTTAGATATGATTGGCGACACACTATGGTTTCTCCTTTCTATCACATGCACTCTTGGGAGCTCTGTATTGCTTACTAACTTGAGGATGGTAAAGTAAGTTTTTACCTTGGGTAAGATAAAGTCTTGAAAATGTAGCATGAGCAAATCTGTAGCAAATCACCAAATATGAACTCAATTTGGCACCAGGGTCATCCTTAAGAGATAAACCTTGGGGTGATGGACCTGCTTTTGTGGCTTCATGATGCAATGGAGACCTGCTGAATGGAGCTGCAGAGCTGGGGTGTAGGGTAGGGTTGGAGAAAGGTGATAGTGCTACCTGTACATAAAGCTCAAATAAATGTAATTTCTCTTAAAGCTTCTGACCATCGAGAGGCATTTCAGCAACTGCAATTGACATGAACTCTTTTGATAGAATAGTTTATGTCGATTGCAATTTCTGAAATAGCCTATTGAATGAAAAAAAAAAAGCTATGAAAGCTATGAACAAAAGCCTCTAGGATGAAACAAAGCTATGTAAACAATCTTACCGATGTCTAATACAAATAAAACACATACCCTTTTTCTGTACACTCGTCTGAAGCTACGTATTGACTTTTTAGGGTATTTTTTTCTTATCCTCTTCAAGACATCAGTCATATACAGATGCATAGTTAGGATGTGGAGCAGATGATTTGCCCACACTCTCTCCCACTCAGAGATGGCACCGTCTATGGCCTCTTAAATTCTGCAGTGACATTTAATTGATGTTTATATTGTCACGGAAAATGGTTCATGAACACAGATGATATTTTCATAACCACACAGAAATACCGTGTTTAGAAAGCAGGCTTGGCCTAGCACAAAAGTTCTCACTCAATCCAGATTAAAGACTATTATTTGCTAAAATAATACATATTTCTAATGCTTTTCTAGTTGTAGAGCAGTACAGACTAAGACTGTAAATCACCAAGCTATCAGATATGAAGTGCATGCTATTTGTTGGCATGTTGCTGACCTATGCAGAGCCTCCATTTTTCCATACAGCTGCCACCTTCCCCAAAGCATCTGGTCGTGTGCCTCGTCTCACGCCCACTCAGTGCACTACGGCAAAGTGTGGGCTCTTACAAACCATGGTTCCCAGAGACTTGGTTCATGGACCACGGATGATGCTTTTCAAGAACGGGAGACACATATTGGTGCTAAAATTACAATACTCTAGGCTCAGGGTCTACCCCTTATTTATGCTCCTGGTGTTAGAAAATGTATTAGGAAATAAATCGTAAGATGATCAAGGACTGGCAAAGACATTTAATAAAATGTCAGCAAACCTGGAAAACAAGTGAGGACGCAATTCATCATACTGAGGAGACAAGATGGAGAAAACTTTAAAGCCATAAGGGAAAGGGCAGCATAGTCAATGAGTGGGAACATTATTTCTAGAATCCTAATGAAAATAGTTTATTATACATGAGAAATACCTTACTTGATCAAAATGAAGGAACTCAGGTTATGATTTTAGTCAATAGTAAGTAGGAACAAGTAAATTACCAGAATGGCTGGGACCCATGAACTCTGCATTTCTTTCTCTTCCGGATGCTACTGGATAAAGGGTGTCCATTCAATATGTAATAGGAGGTGTTGTGCTGGTCTTAGCTGCTTACATTTTATCTCATTAAAGGAACTCAGAATGAAGTGAACAGTGAAGAAATTAAGTAACTGCCTCATACTGTGGCAAAAGGGGAAGAGAAAGAAAAATGTAGGATATGTCTTGTGAACTGAAACACTGTGTTTCCTGGCTATATTCTTTATCAGGAGAAACATGCTTAACAGTCAATAAACCCCATCCATGGTCTTTGTTAAGTTTAAAATAATAGATGGACAAATGTAAAACGTAATTTTATTTACCCGATTCTCATTTTCACATATAATTTTTTTCAGTTTCGTTTTCAAAAAACAACCCCAAACTTAGTTGCTTTTTTGTTAAAAACAATGAGAACAAAACCAATATGAGTATGCAGACAGTCCCAAATAAAACCACAATTCTTGAATCCCCTTTAACACTTCTTATCTGCATATTTTATGAAAGCAGAACTTGCCAGCAATAGGGATACTGCTCTAAATAAATTATACTTTAAGAATATTAAAGTGTAGTTTTTGGCAGTGAAGGTGTCCAATTTTGCTTTGTGCCCTGGGCAACCTTAAGAAAAATGTCTTAAGAATTCATCTCTTCTGACATTAAATAAAATCCAAAAGGTGAATGTTATTAGGCTTCATCAGTGTGACTCTCTGGTCATAGATTAGACATGGTAACCTGATCTGAAGTTCTGTTTTCAAAGTGCCTACTCCACCGGCCTTCACAGAGGAGGACTTCGGGTAGATGAATGTTTTGGAAATCCTTTGCTGTCAATCCAGCAGGATGCTGACGGTTTTATTTGATATTGAAAAAGCAAGGAAAGAGATGTTAGACTTCTGTTATTATGGCCACGCTGGAATCAGATGTTGTGAGTGTTTCTATTTCATAGACAGTGCAACCTGATATGAAAGACCACACAGTGCCAACCTGTGGTCATTTGTTGGTGGGTTGTGATGGTTAGCTAGAGATCAGCGGCACCTCAACCCATTATATACAAATTCACATGTGCTTTTCAGGCATTTCGGGTGAGGAGAGGAACCTTTGGTGCTGTCCTCAGCACGATTGGTAGATAGTACAGCTGCCATTGGAATGCAATGACAGGAGCCATTTTGCTGTGCTCTCTGTGCAGAAAGGCTTGCCGTTGGTAAAGATGAAAAGCATTGCAGATATCATCTTCCAAAAGCTGTCCCCTGTTTTAGGTAGTCCACTGAAAGTCCAGTGATCCAAAATGATTGCTAGGAAACTGGTTTCATTATACTGTCTCCAAGTGTTATTTTGTTCAAAACCCCAAGTTTCAGGGAAGAGGAGTCATCTATCCACACAATGGATGTAGATAAACTTTTTCTTTTAATTTTGAATATTGATTTCCTCCGATGTTTGTGCAGCAGCTGTTTCAACTTGTCCTTAAAAAAGCTGGTTGTGAGAGTATAGAGGATCGGATTCAAAGCACTGTTAACTGGAAGGAAAAAAATCACTATCCAGGAAGTCATTGTGTCTGGAAAAGGAAGCAAAGTGTGAAAAAAAAAGTTGAAGTTTTAAATAGACATAACATACAAATAACACTTTGCAGTCAATGCTATTTATGAGAGGGAGACATAGTACATTTTAAGTTTTCTCTCACCTGAAGGAAACTCTCTTTGTTGGAAGAGCACAGAAGCTATGAATTCAAGGTCTTAATGATTTAACTTTTCTGAGTTTCAGTAAATAATGTGAAGGTCATTGTGATATTAAGACGAAATATGTGAAAATATTTTGTAAACCATAAATTGCTGTATAGTGCATTTTTTTCCTATTTTATCACCTTCCTTTATAGGAAAATAAAAAAATAAAGAAATAATCTTTAGTCAATAGCGTGGGGTTCAGGAAACTTCTGGTCCAAGAGCCAGATCTGACCTTGGTCTTATCTCCATCCAGTTCTGAAAGCTTATTGCCCTGCCCTGGTGTTCTGGTTATCCTGTTATCCTATTAAAAGCTTTGAAGAGCGAAGTGGAATGCATCCCCTAAACTTGATGAAATTCTCTTCTGTGCAACCCTACAAATGCTAATAGAATATTCAGGGAAAGAGGTCACAAGAAGTTCTTTTTGAGGTGAAATTTGGAATGATAATGTCCTTCCTGAGGGCGTCATTTCATTTGCTTGGTTAGCATGAAATGCATCTTTCCCTTTACCCGTGGCCTAATCTTGTCGTCAGACACTTAACTAGGTGAGTGTGAGCAAATCACTTATGCTTCCTCAACTTCATCTGCTCTCTCTGTTAAAGGGGGCTGGTGATAACTTGCTCACTGAATCCAGCGGGCTGGGCCAGAGTCAGCTCTGCTGAGGTGCTTTTTTGGCACTAAGACTTGAGATCCTCAAACCTTACCACATAATGCTACTTCCTCTCACATCTTCACAATTTCAGGGAACTCCCCATTCAGGTGAAGAGTTGGCTGGTAAGACCATTGATGCTTTCTCTCATCATCCTTTGTCTGCTCTCTTCCTTCTCAATCCCATAATGTTTTTTTATCCTTCAGCCACTGTTATTTTGTTCTTCTCTTGACCCTGCCTTGTTTCTTGTATCTTTCTGTTCTTCCTGTCTATGTCTTCTTCCTTTTCCATTTCTTCTCTGACTGCTTATCTGACTTCCTTCTTCTTTTCCTTTGATCTCTTTCCTCTCCTTTTCTATATTTACCTTCCTCTCTTCCTATCCTATCTTCTCTTCCTTGTCCTTATTTTTTAACTGAAAGGAATATGAAAAAAAATTATGTTTTAGCCTGTCTTAAATTAAGTGAACTTTTATATTATTTGTCCCTAATCTAAAAAAATTAGACAATCTGAACAGTCAGTGATTGAAGAAAAACAAAATAAGCGGCCTTTTTCTGTTGTGCCCGCAACGGGAATTTTGATCATGAATCCCACCCCAACCTCGTAGAAAAACAATGCATGATAACACCTGCTTTCACTTAGGTAAAGGCAAATAGGCCACGTGAGTTCTACTCTGAATGAGATCAGGCATGTTCAGGGCGGTATGGCCGTAGACTTAAGTTCCACTCTGAATGAGACTTCTTTTTGTTTTTGTTTTGTTTTGTTTTCTTTTCTTTTGTTTTTGAGATGGAGTCTCACTCTGTCACCCAGGCTGGAGTGCAGTGGTGTGATCTCGGCTCACTGCAAGCTCTGCCTCCCAGGTTCACACCATTCTCTTGTCTCAGCCTCCTGAGTAGCTGGGACTACAGGCACCCACCACCATGCCCAGCTAATTTTTTTTGTATTTTTAGTAGAGACGGGATTTCATCATGTTAGCCAGGATGGTCTTCATCTCCTGACCTCATGATCCATGGCCTCCCAAAGTGCTGGGATGAGACTTCTCATAAGATTAGCAGCAGCTGAGTTCTGAGATAAGCTAACTCTGGCCTATCTTTTGGGTGACCCCAGGTACTGTCAGTGACATGCCATGACCAGTAAACGCCAGACTTCTTGGAGGGTGGGGACAGGCTTGGTGTAGGTCAGTGAAGGCAGCATTTCTTACAATACCATGGGAAGCTGGGCAAGCAAGAAGAAGCTTTGTCAACTGTGATCATGACATTTTTCCTGGTTCCACTGAGGTGTTCAAGACAAACCTCAGACTATTGAACTATACATGTAAAGAAAGACTGGTGTGTGGCTCAGTAATGTTTCCACAAGACAATGGGGGTATTTACTAAGCTTATCATGATCTGAGGTGTCATGGACTCACTGAGGATGATGAGCCCTGCTGCCATGTGAGGACACAGCAGAGCGGATGCCTCCTGTGAGGCAATGAGAGGGACTCAAGAGAAATCAAACCTGCCAACACTTTGATCTTGGACTTCCAGCCTCCAGAACTGGAAGTCCTTTGTTATAGCAGCCCTAGTGGCCTCATACAGAGAGAAAAAGCCTCAAAGAAGATTAAAACTAGCAGGAATTTGAGAGACCATCTAGAGATAGTCTCATTGAGGTGAGGTGAGATGGTCTCCTTGAGATCCCTCAACAGGTCATTGGCAGGGGCAGGAGAGGAACCCAGAACCTCTGCCTTGCTTGTTGCCGAGTCCTTCTTCCACCACACTGGGCTGCATCCCCCTACAAGCAGGAAAGCACGTCAAAATGTGTGGAGACAGGGTCAGTCATGGTGGCTCACGCTTGTAATCCCAGCACTTTGGGAGGCCAAGAGATGGGGCAGGTCACTTGGGGTCAGGAGTACAAGACCAGCCTGGCCAACATGATGAAACCCCATCTCTACCAAAAATACAAAAATTAACCTGGTGTGGTGGTGCACGTCTGTAATCCCAGCTACTAAGGAGGCTGAGGCAGGAGGATCACTTGAACCAGGGAGGCAGAGGTTGCAGTCAGTTGGGATCACACCACTGCACTCCAGCCTGGGCAACAGAGCGAGACTTCATTTTTTTTTTTTTTTAAGAAGGTGTGGAGACAGTAGTGGTGAGGGGGTGGTTGATGAGACTGATCCTCTCTATTCCATCACTCTTGGACCAGCTCACCTTCTTTAGTTGACTAAGCATTTACTTGAAAACACTGTGAAAAACACTGTGGAAAATGCACAGAGGAATAAGACATGCATGCCTCCCCAAGCTTATCATCTAAAGAAAGCAACGGACACACTCGGAAGCAGTGTCGCTATGAGGCAGTTCACATGAGGCCAATAAGCGAGGTGTAAACAAACCATCCTGGATGTTTAAGCAACTGGGTTGCATGGAAGTGGGGTGAGGAGAGATAGAAAATGGCACCGTACCATAGAAGAGGGAGCATTTGGGTTGAGCCTTGGAGGATGGGAAGTGGTGTTTAGTAGGTTAGAATCTTAGAAGCTGAAAGTATAATCCAGGTTGGGAGAACAGCTTCAGGAAAGGCTGATGTCTTCTCAGAAAAGCACAGAAAACAAAGCCCACGGGGGTGTGCCCAAGATAGCCGAATAGGAACAGCTCCAGCCTCTAGCTCCCAGCATGAGCGACACAGAAGATGGGTGATTTCTGCATTTTCAACTCAGGTACCGGGTTCATCTCACTGGGGTGTGTCGGACAGTTGGCGCTGGTCCGCGGGTGCAGCCTGACCAGCAAGAGCTGAAGCAGGGCGAGGCATTGCCTCACCTGGGAAGCACAAGGGGGAAGGGAATTCCTTTTCCTAGCCAAAGGAAATTGAGACACACAACACCTGGAAAATTGGGTAACTCCACCCTAATACTGCACTTTACCAAGGGTCTTAGCAAACGGCACACCAGGAGATTATATCCTACACCTGGCCCAGAGGGTCCCATGCCCACGGAACCTCCCTCATTGCTAGCACAGCAGTCTGAGATCTAACTGCAAGGTGGCAGCGAGGCTAGGGGAGGGGCGTCTGCCATTGCTGAGGGTTAAGTAGGTAAATAAAACTGCTGGGAAGCTCGAATTGGGTGGAGCCCACCACAGCTCAAGGAGGCCAGCCTGCCTTTGTAGACTCCTCCTCTGGGGACAGGGCATAGCTATACAAAAAGCAGCAGAAACCTCAGCAGAGGTAAATTCCCCTGTCTGACAGCTTTGAAGAGAGCAGTGGATCTCCCAGCACGGAGGTTGAGATCTGAAAACGGACAGACTGCCTGCTCAAGTGGGTCCCTGACCCCTGAGTAGCCTAACTGGGAGACATCCCCCACTAGGTGCAGACAGACACCTCACACCTCACACGGTGGGGTACACCCCTGAGATGAAGCTTCCAGAGCAAGAATCAGACAGCAACACTCACTGTTCAGCAATATTCTATCTTCTGCAGCCTCTGCTGCTGATACCCAGGCAAACAGGGTCTGGAGTGGACCTCAAGCAAACTCCAACAGACCTACAGCTGAGGGTCCTGACTGTTAGAAGGAAAACTAACAAACAGAAAGGACACCCACACCAAAACCCCATCAGTACGTCACTATCATCAAAGACCAAAGGCAGATAAAACCACCAAGATGGGGAAAAAGCAGTGCAGAAAAGCTGGAAATTCAAAAAATCAGAGCACATCTCCCCCTCCAAAGGAACACAGCTCATCGCCAGCAACAGAACAAAGGTGGACAGAGAATGACTTTGACGAGTTGAGAGAAGAAGGCTTTGGTCAATCAAACTTCTCAGAGCTAAAGGAGGAACTATGTAACCAGCGCAAAGAAACTAAAAACCTTGAAAAAAGAATGGATGAATGGATAACTAGAACAATCAATGCAGAGAAGACCTTAAAAGAACTGATAGAGGTGAAAACCATAACACGAGAACTACGTGACAAATGCACAAGCTTCAATAACCGACTCGATCAACTAGAAGAAAGAGTATCAGCGATTGAAGATCAAATGAATGAAATGAAGCGAGAAGAGAAGTGTAGAGAAAAAAGAGTAAAAAGAAATGAACAAAGCCAACAAGAAATATGGGATTATGTAAAAAGACCAAATCTACATCTGATTGGTGTGCCTGAAAGTGACGGGGAAAATGGAACCAAGTTGGAAAACACTCTGCAGGATATCATCCAGGAGAACTTCCCCAACCT